GAGGGCCTCTTCGTGCCATCCCAAGGGCCCGCGTCGGGGCGGAGCAGGAGGGGGAGGAGGAAGACGACGATGACGACGATCACGACGACGAGGAAGAGGAGCAATCGGAAAAGGGAGGCGATGAGGGTAAGGACGAGCACAAGGAGGAGGCGGAGGAGGCTGAGGAGAACAATGAGGACGAGGACAGAGCCATCAAAATCCCCTCTTGGAGCCCACTTGGGGTCCTCTTGGGGTTCTTTCGGCGGGGTCTTGTGGCCCCCTTTGAGCCCTCTTGGGGTCCCTCGGGAGCCCTGGAGGGTCTCTTGGGGCCATCTTGGAGGTCGAAAGGAGGGGCGCGTCTAAATTTGCGTTCCCCCGTTGATGCCATCAACATCGCCCCTTTGGGACCCTCTTCGGGCGAGCTTGGGCCGCTCTAGGGCGTTATTACGGCCGACAGGGGGGCCTCGGGCCTCTCTTGGGCCATCGTGGGGCCATCTCGAGGCCTCACAAGGGCATCGGAAGAGAAAAGGCGAGAAGGCGCAAATCATTGATTTGCCAATGGTTTTTGAAGGATGGTGGCCTCCTTCTTGTAGGGGGTCCTGGGGGGGGGGCTCCGAGACCGTCTTGTGGCCCTCGTCGGGCCTTTTGGAGGTATGTCGGAAGCTATCCTGAAGTATCGTCAGCTATCTTGAGTCGCCTTGGAGGCCACCTTGGAGCATCGGAGGACCTCTTGGAGCCAACTTGGGCGAAAAAGGATCCCCGGCAACTTCGCCGCCCGCCCCCAAAAATCCTCAGGGAGGGAATGGGGGAGGGTATCCCTCCCCGAAGTGAAGGAGGTTCGACGTTCCAATTCCTACTCGCCGAAACTCCTCGGCATCGCTGGCCACGTCACCGAAGACCCGCTGACAAGAATTGCTGCTGTGGGGTGAAACTGCGTCCACGCGTCTTTGGCCCATCAGATGTTTTGGTCCTTGCCAGGGCCTTTGCTGTTCCTGGCGCGGCTCTTCGCAACCAAGTGTTTCACACTCGCCTTTATGGTTTCTGTTGCCAGACCGCCAACTCCCCACCACCGTCGCCTTTACCACCTCCTCCCCCGCTACCTTCATGATGCCCCGCTCACGGTCGCTAGTCATGCCTTCTTTTGCAGCGTTCCGCTCCAGAAGTTGGCCCCCGAAGCTCCGCAGGTGTCCCATGCGCACCCGGTCATCGATGGGCGCCTCGATGTTGCACCATATCCGTTTCATGCTCCTCTACTTGCTCTCGTTCGTTTTCGCCGCTTTGTCCCTCAGAATCTTCAGGCATCGGGAGACCCCGTCTGGATTGCACATTTTCGCAAACACCAAGCCCTTGAACATCTCCCCCTCCCTGTCTGTGGCTGCTGTGAAAGTCTAACCATCGAACCCCCCCGCGCCACCACCCAACTTGAAGTTCGACGTGTACTTCATCTCCTCCCCTGTCATGTAATTGCCAGCCCCTCGCGTGACATTCTGGATATTTCTTTCGTCACGGCATGCTTCTTGAGTTCATGCATTTCCCCTTCTACCGAATTGATTACGATGTTTGCCTCGCACGCTGCCTGCTTGGCCGCCGTCGCCTGCTCCTTTGCCTCTTTCGCATCCTCCGCATTATGCTTCATCACGTGTCTTTCTTCCCTCTTACCCATCATCATGGTCCTCATCATCTCCTTCATGCCATCGCTCCTCCTTCCCTTGGAGTCTCCCTTGTACCCACCTTGGACTTGCCGAGCACCTCAACGTCGGCATCGTCCAGAGGCGGTCCGAGCTTGCCCTGATTTGCCACCCCACCCTGGGGCGAGTGGAGCTCAAACCGCCTGGCCATTGTGCCGTTGAATGGTGGGTGTTGCTGGCTCCGAGCGAAGATTCAGTCTTTTTGCCAATCCAGGAAGTGACAACAAACTGAATTGAGCCAAGTCATGAGCCAAGATGGTAATGAATATGGCAGTGGAACTGACCAGGATAGCATGGAGAGAGCCGCTCGCTCACTGTGCTGGCAACGCCTTGAACCGGGCAGGTGCAGCAATGACGGGCTGCTGCTGCCAGGCCTCCCTCTCAGACTCTGATTCAGAAGGGCCCAAGAATGCTAGGATAACTTCACGAGTAGGGGTTCTGCCGGGCGACGATTGCCGCGTCGGCTCAGCAGGTATACCGCCCAAAGCGGTCCGCACCCATCAATGAGAAGCCAATGCGGAGATTGGTCGGCGCCCTCAGGTTGTTGGAGACCCGCTTCACGATTGCAGGACAAGCAGCCGTAAGGGTGTGCACATGAGCTCGCCCGAAGATCGGCATCTTCTGGATGTTCTCCCGCCTCCAGCCTGCTACACGTCTGTTCTCCGTGTTGGCGACGCCCGCGCCACCGTCGCCGCCACCTCGTTAATCGCTCCAGTTGCGGAGCTGGGCCAGCGGAGGTGGCGCCAGGCCCGCGATTTCGAGGGGCGGGTGATGTTGGGGTGGGAGGGGGCTTACTCGACAGATCCGCGCTTGCAGATGCTTGGGCGGGCTTTTGTCCGCCCAGCGAGCGCGGCGTCCAGGGGGGTGCACCGTCGCAATAGGTGGGCGTTGCACTTGGCAAAGCTCAGGCAACAAATGGAAAGGAGCTTGTTGCTTGGTTGCAGTGGGTCCGCCACCCTGATGGCTCAGAGCGGGAGGCACAAGTCATCACGAGTTCTTCCTCTATGGTTAGATGGTCAGAGGGGCTTTGTTCGGGTGCGCGCCTGCCGAACAAGGATAACTGGAGATTCATGGGAACCGCTCAAGCTTGAGGTCTAAGACACGGTGCATGTCCGCAAGTTCGAGAGTCACCCTCCAAGCAGAGATTCGCGTGCATGCGTTTTGGTGGGGCCAATCAAAAGGCAGACATATGAGTTCATCGGCCCGCCGTCCAGGTGCAGGCGGTGGTTGTGGTCGTCAACCGCGCACGGACTCCGAGAAGTTTGTTCAGAAATTTCATGTTCGCGGCAGAACGCCTCCATTAGGATAACAGAGCAGCAGATGCTAATACGAATCAGTTGCGACTGATATTAAACCGAAGTATGCTATCAGTAGGACGCCAATGCGGATACGAATACTCTCACCCACGATAGCATATGACCACGAATCGGATCCATCTACTAATAGTAGTCGTACAGCGAAGAGTTACGAGGCATGGTGAGAACATCAGCATGTCAGGTTGTCATTGATGAAATGAGCATGTTCGCCCACATTGCTACTTATGCCAAGGACCTTCCCCCAAACGTGATTGCACTTAGGGTTTGTTGCTTCTCTTCTACAGAACTGGGCCCGTGTGCGGGCCCAGCGGCCCGTGCCCCGTCCCCTCTTGCTCCATGTCTGCGGGCCAGCTGGCCCCGTTCCCGTCTGTCGCTGCACCACATATCTTGCACCACACAGCTTGCCCCAGCTTAGCGTGCACAGCATAGCTTACACGGCATTAGCTTGCTCCACGTAGCTTGCACCATCTTGTTTGCACCACGCATACTGGCCCACGTAGCTTTCACCGCATAGCCTGCTTCTAAGACTTAGTTTGTACCAGATTGCTTACACCAAATAACGGACATCACATCACATAGCTTGCACCGCATTGCTCAGATCACATAGCTTGCACCGCGTAGACTGCACCTCGTAGCTTACACCACATAGCTTGCACCACATATGTTGTAACTCATAGCTGGCACCACATAGCTTACACCACATAGCTTACACCACATAGCTTGACACAGATAGCTTGCACCACATGGCTTGCGCATCAGCCGTGGTATTTGTACAACTACGGGTGCGAAAAGGATTGTGAGTACGAATGCGACAGCTAATGCGAATACTCGATACGAGAGGGCCACGGGAGGCCACTGGGGGGTTCCACACGATGCCAGATCCGGCGATACCCGTATGTCGCTTCCGGAAGCAATACGTAGGAACCACACAGACAAGTTATTCAGAAAAGCACGAACGTCTGGTGGCCGTGATGGAGATCGGCAGTGCATCTTGTATTCAGGTGGACCTTGGAAGGGCGCCTACGGCGTCCAGGTTTCCACAGCTGCCTTTCATTCAGAAGGCTGTTTAGGCCCTGGAGCACGACGTGGATTTCCACCCTGTTAGATATGTGGAAAGGCACGTAGCGGTAAAAACAAGACCCGACGGGTCTGCGAGAGTGTGGCGGCGAATCCAGGTAAGTGGGCGGGTGGTTCACGATTCACATGATTCGCGTGTCCATGGAGTGGTGCCAGCTCTTGCCGAGACGCGGCGCGCAAGAGGCCGAGGCGCTGTGGATATGGATAGAATCTAGTCTTGAGGGGACCACTGTGCCTCGGGTGTCTGGGGAAGGGAACCCCAGTTTCCGAGATGCAGAGAATATGGATACAAGTCTTGCCCGCGAGTCTTCTTCCGCATGCACTGCCTGCAGCTGCTGCTCTGGGAGAGGTGGAGGATGCTCAGACAAAACGAGGAGGGTGAATGCCTGCGCTTCGGCGCGATCCCTGCCCAGGCCTCTCTCACGAAGCCCCCACCAGGTTCCGGCAAAGAGGCGTATGACTTGTCCAGGGAAACGCACAGGTGCCAAGCTAAGAACCCTTTCGCAGCGCGACAAGTCCGTCTTTTCTTTCACTCCAGGCTGTGCACAGCCGCACACCCAGCTATCGTTTGATGTTCTTGTAGATGGTGGTGGCAGTGGCGGTGGTGGGCGCGGCGGTGCGGAGGGGGTGGGATGGGAGAGGGGGGGGGAGAAGGGGGGGAGGGTCGCAGTCATAGGGAGGGGTAGGGGAAGGTGGGGGCGGGGCGCGGAGCGCTGGGGAGGGTGCTGGGCGAGGACCAGCGGCAGGAGAGGTAGCGGGCGAAAAGGCAACTGAGGAGGATCGAGTATGCATGGGTGTCGAGACTTTGTTGTTCGGCTGGTTGGCCTCGAGTGGCGTCATCGTCGCCACGCTTGTATCCGCTTCCAACTTCTGGCCAGAATGCGCTTCGTGTTCAGAGGTAGCGCGTCTCCCACATCATCTCCAACAGTCGCACCCACAGGGTCACCGACGCCTGCCCCGACTGCTGCACCGACAAGTGCACCCACAGCTGCACCAACATCGGCACCGACAGCTTCACCGACAGCGTCACCGACTGCTGCCCCGACGGCTGCACCCACAGCTTCACCGACAGCGGCACCGACAGCTTCACCAACAGCGTCACCGACTGCTGCCCCGACGGCTGCACCGACAAGTGCACCCACAGATGCACCGACGTCGGCACCGACAGCTTCACCGACAGCATCACCGACTGCTGCACCGACAGCGTCACCGACTGCTGACCCGACGGCTGCACCGACAAGTGCACCCACAGGTTCACCGACAGCTTCACCGACAGCGTCACCGACAGCGTCACCGACTGCTGACCCGACGGCTGCACCAACAAGTGCACCGACAGGATCACCGACAGCTTCACCGACAGCGTCACCGACAGCTGCACCGACAGCGGCACCAACAAGTGCACCCACAGCTGCACCGACAGCGGCACCGACAGCTTCACCGACAGCGTCACCGACTGCTGCCCCGACGGCTGCACCAACTGGTGCACCCACAGCTTCACCGACAGCGTCACCGACAGCTTCACCGACAGCGTCACCGACTGCTGACCCGACTGCTGCACCGACATCGGCACCAACAGTTGCACCGACGTCGGCACCGACAGCTTCACCGACATCGTCACCGACTGCTACCCCCACGTCTGCACCGACAAGCGCACCGACAGCTGCACCGACATCGGCACCGACAGCTTCACCGACCGCGTCACCGACTGCTGCCCCGACGGCTGCACCGACAAGTGCACCCACAGGTGCACCGACAAGGGCACCGACATCTTCACCGACAGCGTCACCGACTACTACCCCCACGGCGGCACCGACAAGTGCACCCACAGCTGCACCGACGACGGCACCGACAGCTTCACCGACAGCATCACCTTCTGCTCCCCCGTCGGCTTCCCCAACCGCTGCACCGACAGGTGTGCAGATTCTTCGATGCCTTTCCCGCGGTTTGTTTCATGGCGGCGTTGCAACCCCAATGCAATCATCATTCATGAGTCTTGTCTATATCAGTTTTTGTATGCGAAAAGGTTCCCGCAATATGTTTCTTGCGAATTTGGGGGCAGAGCTCTTCATCGCCGTCTCCAGCCGCTGTATGGCCCATTCTGGTTTGCCCGCTTGTACGTCAGAGCTGCATCATCATCATCAGCAGCATCATCATCAGTATCATCATCATCATCATCATCATCATCATCATCATCATCATCATCATCATCATCATCATCATCATCATCATCATGATCATCATCATCATCACCCATCATCACCATCATCATCAGCATGAGCACCAGCATCAGCATCAGTATCATCATAATCCTCATCATCAGCATCATCATCATTATCATCATCATAGTGCGGGGGGCCTCAGCGACTCGGCGGTGTCCCCCCCAGGGAGAGCGGGATCATCATCATCATCACCATCATCATCACCATCATCATCACCATCATCATCATCATCACCATCATCATCATCATCATCATCATCATCACCATCATCATCATATATATATAAATTCCCCAATCAGTGCTTGCACTGAAGGGGTCCTAGCGGAAGTTGAAAGAGAGAGGCGAGAGTTCCACGGCGATTTTGGTAGCAGGCTGGGGTTCCCGGGTTCCCGGTTCCGGGTTCCAGGGTTCCCGGTTCCGGGTTCCGGGCCAATTTCGGAGGGCGGCGAGGTTCCCGGGTTCCCAGGTTCTTGGTCGATCTTCTTATCGATCGGTCTCACCGTCGATCTCATTACCCATTTCTCTATCGATCTCACCATCGATCTCACAATCGATATCACTATCGATTTCACAAGCGATCTCACTGAATCGATTTCACTCTTGATCTCACGATCGACCTTACAATCGTTCTCACTATCGATTCCACTATCGATCCCATTATCGATCTCACAATCGATCTCAAGATCCATCGTATTAATTTTCGAATCATCCACTGATTGGGTTTTCTCAGGCGTAATACCTATCACAAAAAAGGGTAGGGGGTCCCGGGCCCCCCGAAGTGCACTGGTGTATTTTCCAGCCGTTTCGGGGCCAGCGGGCGGCGCAACAACAACGTCGAAGGGGGCCGAGAGACGTCCAAGAGGGAGTCAAGATGGCCCAAATGGCGCTCCTAGAGAGCCCAAGACCGCACAGGAGCGTTTCAAAATTGGTCCATCATGGCTTAAGACAGCCCACGCGGGCTTCAAGACGGCCAATATGCTCTCAAAAGGACTCCCACGAGGCACTCAGGAGGCGAAGGAAGTTTGTTGTTCGATGGTGTTTGAAGGTTTTTCTCGTGTTCTCGCTGTTTCGTGCTTCCAACGGTCCAGGACAGCCCACGATGCCCCAGAAATCAGCTCGACACTGCCCAAGAGGCACCTAAAGAGGGCGCCACGACGGCGCAAGAGAGCCTCAAGACGGCCCAAAAGCGCCCCAAGACGGCCCACGAGGCGCCCAAGATCGCCCACCAAGAGGGCCCCAAGACGGCCCCAAGAGGGGCCCAAGAGGGGGAACTCGAACCGACAATTTGAACCTTCCGCCCCAAGAGGCCTCCAGGAGGCCCCAAGAGGCCCCCAACAGAGCCCACGAGGCCCCCTAATGTTCCCCTAGAGGCCCCACGAGGCCCCAAAGAGGCTCAAAAAGAGGCCCCAAGAGCACCCCAAACGGCCCCCATGAGGCCTCCTAAACAAACCTTGGCAAAGGACCGCCTAGCCTATCGTGGCATCGCAGCGTTGCATGACTTCACATGGCACGGCACAGCACGACTGAACTAACCGTGTCAGGGCATATCACAGTATGGTTCAGCATGCAATCGCGCTGCACTCCATAGCAGTTTCTAGCTGAGCCTAGCACTGCACGTCACGACGCAACATTGCCTAGCATGGCATTGCTTCTCATGCCACATCGTGGCGTACTATGGCATTTCAATGCACATACATTGATCGAAGAGCACCGTACTGCTCTGCGCAACAGTAAAAAGAATTCATGCAAATACGTAGCACCCCGCAGATGCGGGTAAGAGTGAGGGGGCGGTGGGGACGTCGGCAGTCTGCGAGACTCTGGAGAAGCCCCGCAGGCGCAAACGTTTCACAAATTATACAGGGAGCCCGCCGCAGGCGCTGTTCTTTTTCAAACCAGTGTGGATCGGTCGCGGCTGGGCCGCGGGTGGCTCGCGGGGTGATCGCGGGCCAGGTCGCGGGTGGGTCGCGGGTGGTTCGCGGGTCGGTCGCGGGTGGGACGCGGGGTGGGTCGCGGGTGGGTCGCGGGTTGGGTCGCGGGTGGGTCGCCGGGTGGGTCGTGGGGTGGGACGCGGAGTGGGTCGCGGGGTGGGGGTCGCGGGGTGGGTCGCACGGTGGGTCGCACGGTGGGTCGCGGGGTTGGTCGCGGATGGGTCGCGGAGGGGACGACGACAACAAACAACAACAACAACAACAACAACAACAACAACAACAACAACAACAACAACAACAACAACAAGAAGAACAGCAAAGCAACACCAACAACAATCATTTTAATGTTGTTCGCTCTTACTGGCACACGTGTCTTGCACTCCATATACCCCAGCCCTCGATACCCGCCCACTTCGTTTTCGATTGTACCCTTTTTCGGGGAGAGTCTCTTCCTCGTCGACACTGACTGACGTGTGAAGGAGTATCGAGCGAGAGCGCCGTCCCTGAGTTCGGGAGCCTCTCTGGCCAGGAGCTCTCGGAATACCTATGAAGAAATATCGGACGGGGGCCCTTGTCGCCGTGTCCGGGCCTCCACCAGCTTAATTAAATTATGGAAAGTCTCGAGCGAGAGCGCCGTTCTTGAGTTCGGGGCCCTTCTTGGCCAGGGGCTCTCGGAGTAAACCGTGAGGAAATATCCAGCAGGAGCCCTTGTCGTCGTGGCTGGGCGTCCGCCAACTTAATTGACTTGCGAGGCAATCTCGAGAGAGAGCGCCGTTCCTGAGTTCGAGGGCCTCTCTGGCCAGGGTGTCTCGGGGTAAATTGTGAGGAAATATCGAGCGGGAGCCGTTGTTGTCGTAGCTGGGCCTCCAAGGGCCCACATTTCGGGTCAAGCCAACGCTCGAGCGGGAGCCCCGTTTGAAGAGAAAATGTAGCTGGTGTCGAAGCGACAGCGCGCGGAACCTTTTCTGGGTATCAACAAGAATCATTTTCTAGAAATGAGTATCCAACGCAACAAGTAGAAATCCTCACCACGGATACTCACTTCAGAATGACCGTTCGGCTGCTTCAATCTTATATATATATACACATATGTGTATATATATATATATATATATATATATATATATATATATATATATATATATACCGCCCCCCCCAGCCCCGGGTCCCACACCTCCCCGTGACATCTCGGGGACGCTCCCGGTACCGCTCCCCCAGCCTTTCTGGGGAGCCTCCATTGCGCCCCAGGAGGGCCCAAGACGCTTCCCAGGAGCCCCCGGAATGCGAAAGGATGGTGCAGGACGCTCCAAAGCAGCCCAAGTCAGCCTTTCGACGGCTCTCGAGGCTCCCAGGTGGCTCTGGAGGTTCCATCCGAGAGGCGTCCTGGGACGGCCCGAAGAGGCCAACATTGTAGATTTCCATTGGTTTCTGTTAATGTGATTGGCTTCTCGCGTTTTCGAGCTTCCAATTGTCCAAGAGCGCCGAAGAGCCGCCCAAGACCACCCAAGAGACCCTCAGGACGGCCCCAAGACGGGCCAAGAGCTCCAAGACTGCCGAAGAGGCGCCCAGGACAGCCCCAGACCACCCCAGAACAGGCCCAAGATGAGCCCGAGAGCGGGGGAGCAGGGGGCCCCCAAGACGCCCAAGGACAGCCCAAGACGACTCCAAGGAGCCCCCAGGACGTAAAGAACGGCCCAACACGCTCCCGCGCAGCCCGAGACACAGTTCCGACGGCTCTCCAGGCTTCCAGGAGGTCTCCAGAACCCCCAGGGGGTCCGGAAGATCCCACAACCCTGAGGGGCCCGGCTAACAAAACCCGCGAGGCACACACAAAGAACAGCGCCGAGGAACAGGAAAACATAGGAATCCTACAATTCCTTATTTTCAGAGTGTGGCCCCCGGTCTGCTCTTGCACAAGAGACCACCAGTCAGACCCAGGAAGCCTTTTGAGGGCCCCGAATCGTTGGATACCTGAAGGAAATTAATGATCAGAGAGAGGGGGCCGAACGGTCATTCATTGTCGCTGGATACGTGGCTGAATAAGGAATTCGTGGTGAGAATTTTGTTTGTTGCGTTGGACTCTCATTTTTGAAAAATAATTATTGTTGATCCCCCCCGTCCGGTGCACATTGTTTTCTCTCGATTGAAGTGCCCTTCCCGGGGCTCGCACCCTGTCTTTTTATGAAGGAAAGTCTTGAGGGTCAAACTGTGTCGTTGGCCCCGGGGTTACAACAACAACGGCTCCCGCTTGAGACTTCCTCACAATTTACCAAGGACCCTCGCTCCCACCCGAGACTTTCTTGCATGTCATGCAGGAATCGCGCTTTCGCTTGGGACTTCCTTGCAATTTTCTCAGGAATCGCTTTCCTGGCGCTCTGGAGTCCCGCTCTCGCTGGAGACTTGTTTGCAATTTACTCAAGAATAGCGGCCTTGCGTTGGAAATTCTTGTAATTTATTCAAGCGCCGCGCTCCCGACACCCAGGCACCCAGGAGTCGTGCTCACGTTTAGCACTCCCTCACAGATTACCTAAGAATCGGGATCTCCCTGCCCTTCGTGGCCCCGTTGCAGCCCTTCGTGGCCCCCTCGCTTTGTTTCGTGGCCCCGTTGCAGCCCTTCGTGGCCCCCTCGCTGCCCTTCGCGGCCCCGTTGCAGCCCCTCGTGGCCTCCTCGCTGCCCTTCGTGGCCCCGTTGCAGCCCTTCGTGGCCTCCTCGCTGTGTTTCGTGGCCCCGTTGTAGCCCTTCGTGGCCCCCTCGCTGCACTTCG